TTTAAAAAGGGTTATTATAAAACTATACCTCAAATTAGTAATTTAATTATACTATAATGTGATTATTTTAATACCTTTTCCTCTGTATTTATCTTGGTAATTGGAATTGGGAACAAAAATATTTTCGATAGGAAACTAATCTTTTTTTTGTTAATATTCGGAAAAAGTTTTAATAAAGAAATTGGACATTTTTTACGGGTAAATTCTCTTTCTTTCATTGGTCTTCTGCAAAGAAATAAATCTCCTTAACTCTGCATTCACAGTTAACGCGAATTCAAGGTTAAGTATACAGAAATACAGCATATTTTATATACTTCGCCACTAATTCATTTTTCTTGCTAACTATGAATGAGGTAAGACATTTACTGGACAGGGCTGCTAGGTCAAAATTTACAAATTGCGGGCGAAATTTTTCTACGAGCTTACATCCTACAAATTTCCGACTTCGGCCGGGTTAGGAAATGGGGCTTATTTGGCTCCCTTTTTTTATTCACATAGCTGTTAACTTTACAAATCCCCGTTCCTTATGCTTTCAAATTAAGGTGTTTTTTTGCGTTATATTTCAAGTAATGTATTTCAAATCATAGGCATGGTACTACCAAATTTTATGATATAATATATTTATTCCTAAATTTGAAATGGCATTTAAAAGTCAACAATATTGGGTAAATGTTATATTTTCTTTTTAAAATGTGATACCTTTTATAAATGGCGATTGAACTTTAAAAATCCCTATTTGGAATATATTAGTTGATAAAATTTACTTAAATATAATATTATATAAAGCTTTTTTTGCTTTATCCCCAGGTATGATGTTACTGATTTTTATTATAGTTTTTAAAAAAAAACTATTTCCCAATAGAAAAGAGGGAGGGATTGAAAGTTTATTCATTTGACTTTGAGGAGATATCGATTTCCTTTTTTTTTATTAACAAACGACATATTTAAAAAAAAATGATTATAAATTTAAAATATTAAACAAATACTGTTTCTAAAAATTATTAATATTTATCATTTGATAATGTAAAATGCTTTATAAAAAAAGAAATTGCGGGATATTTGCTGTATATAGTTTTATGTTTAGGATAATATTGCGGGAGTCTCCCGTTATTAGGGCGTGGGAGATATGATAACCCCGGTGATGGATGACGATTTGTTATTATTACCTTATCTAGGCTAAGCATGTCTATTCAACAACTCTTTTCACAGATTGAGTGAAGTTTTTGAAGAACACGCTTTTATAAAACTCTTTTAATCTTTATAAATGAACAGCATAGCGTAATCTTGTTGGTTTGAATATAAAATTGGAATTTTTTTTTGTCTCATCGAGAAATAAGAAAAAATAACAATAATACTTTTCGACTCATTTTAATATTCTATTTTTATATCTCATTTATGCTTTAGGTAAAAAATTTCATAAATTCCAATACCTAAAATTAAAATAATAATATTATGAATTCTTAGTATGAGTTACGTCCTTATACATATTATAAAACTTTCAAACTTCAATTTCATAATTACTAGATCCAAATACTGTGAAAAACTATAGATTCCTGCAGAGGAATTTTTTCCCCCATTCTTTTTAATTAAATATCGCAATTAAAAAAGAATTTTTTTAAAAAAACGGGTTGCAAACATTGAGTAAAATTTTTCAATTAGCTGATGGAATAGAAGGTCAAAACAAACCCTCATTTATTTGATAATTTATTATTTTTTACATAATAATATTTGTAAATTAAGTTTAAATTAGTTTTTTTTAAATTAATTAATGTAATATTTTAATTTTGTTATAGAAATAAAAAAATAGATAAACATCATAAAATTATCAGAGTTCTTTGCTGGATATTTAAATTTAATCAGCGATGCACCGATACAAAGGCCGATAACTTAACGTTTTACCTATATACCACTATACTAAGATAATTTATTAACAAATCTAAAATTTCATTAAATTCATTTTCTTTAATGTTATTTAAGTATTTATTTAAAAGAATTTATATAAGAATTATATACTCCGAGTTTATTATTTAAAACCAACAATAAAAATAAGAAATCTAACAAAATGAGTCAAAAATACATCTTAAAATTTAAATATATATTTAAAAAACAAATATGAATATATGAGCACATAATTATCATGTTGTAAACGAACGCGTTCAAAATGAACGCGTTTGTGAACGAAGTTCGTTTTTTGAAAAAAATGATAAACGGCGTTCCTTTTATTTTTGACGAACTTTGAACGTAAACGCGTTCCTTTTTTATGACGAACGCGTTCGAATTTAACGTTCGTTCAATTTTAAAAATATTTTTTATTTTTATTTATTTGAAAAATTTAATATTTCCGAATTTTTTTAAAAAAAAAGTATTATTAATATTTTTAATCGGCTGTGTATTTCCTTTTTACATTTCGATTTTTTTAACACATAGTTTATTAATTTGAATATTATTGTTTATATTTTAATTTAGATTAGCATAAGCATGGATATTATTATTTAATCCTCATCATCTGATTCTGAAAATCCAAAATCAGATGAATTATCATTACTATGGCCAAATATGATAAATGTTTTACATTAACATCCTATATTGAAGGAACTAATCCAATGCTTACCAAATGTAAAATGTGGCCAAGAAGTATTATATTGTCAAAATCTTCAGGTTTCAATTTAAAACGACATTTGATTTTAATATTAATTAGTTGATTTTATATGATATAACTAAGTTAAATCATTAAATTTGAAGAAATAATGCATTTGGGATATTTGACCCCAACAATAACGATAGTTATTTTAAAATTAAAAAAATTAGTGGCCTCAAATATGGTCAACCATTGATAGACGCCGTATTAAATGGATTAATAAAAGGTATTAAACCTCTCACTCTCAATTAATTACATGTATTTTATTTTTTTAAAGATTTGAACATATATATAAGGATCAATATGTTCTTTCTGCAATTATAGCAACTCCCTCATCTGCCCCAGTAGAGCGTTTTTGGTATAGCCAATGCCGTATTAACTGCCAAGTGTTCCTAAACAATTGTTATTAAAATTTAATAAGAAAAATTTTTTATAAATAAAAATATCTTTTTATTGCTATATTATTATATTTTATTTATAATTATATTATCAAAATAAAACTATATTATTTTTTAACATGGCTAAAATATATAGTATTAAAAAATATATGTTTATATTAAATTAAATTTAAAAAAAATTTATCATAAAATTTTGAACTGTTTTATGAACGTGAACGCGTTCCTTTTTTTGAACATTCAATAAACGTTGAACGCGAACGCGTTCGATTTTTTTAGAAATGTTTACAGCACTACATAATTATAATCGATATTAAAATGGAATATAAGAAATATGTGCAAAAATTTTTAAAAAAATAATAAAGAACGGAGATGATATAAAGCGAGAAAAAAATAAGAAGTAGAAAGAGTCTAGGATAGCTCCTTGGCTAGTAGGTTCGCTTTAAGGACAGCTATGGCCAACCTTTGCCGAAAAAAAAACCCCTCTCGAGGTTATTCTGAGAGTTTGCTAATTTGTAGCACTAAATTTTTAAAGAATGCTAGGGCAAAGTTGCCGGAGGTGACAGGTGTGGTTGAAATGATAAGAATGAAACAATGGTCATTTGAAATTTCTATGTATTTCGAGATTTTAAGTTGTTCCTTCTAGTCAATTGTATTAGGGGCTTGGTTGGAAGGGGCCAGAGGGTCAATACATGAAAAAAAAAATTAATTTATTTTTTTGGGTTTTTTATTTCATATAAAAATAATATTTTTTAAAAAAAAGTGAATTGTATTTCAGCTAGTGGTACTTGGCTGGATTTGAGCCAATTTTTAAAAACGGCTAATACAAAGATTTGGATATCTATTAGTAAAATTTCGCGCTTGTGCAATATTTTTCTGGTTAAAATATTGAGTTAGCCGTTTTTAAAAATCGAGTCGTTTAACAACACTAGTGGTACCATTTAATGACGTATATAATAAATCTTCTGAATTATATGCAACACATTATATAGTTTAGAGTTTTTGATTCCTAATTTCATTTATATTAAGGCTGGGGTCTAGTTTTTTTTGCCATTGGACGAGATTGAGTTTAAAGAAAAATGATTTTATAGGACTATTCAAATCACTATGGGTTGAAAAGGCCAGTACTTTGGTTGGCACATTTTGATTAGCATTTTTTTTAAAATAGGTTTATTGGTCGGGAGTCTAAATGGGATAAGTTAATCTCATTTTAATTATATTCAATTTAACAAGTGTGCAGATATGCTTATGTTTAATTTAAAAAGGTCTTATTTTGAATTCTTTAAAAGGACAGCGTTTTACTAATTTTGTTACCTTTTGGCGATATTTCAAATAAAGAGGCAAAGAAAAATAAATCGATTAAATCCAAATATTATCCTTCTGTGTAGTGTATAAAAATCTTAAAGATTATAATAATTAGTTCTTGAAAGTATTTTCCCTTATTTTGCTATTATCAGCAATTTTTTAGCATATCCATGGTAAAATTATAAAATTTTTACTATTTGGTTAGTTTTTGTTTTTGATTGAAAATATTATACCAAGGTCAAAATTAATCTCTTTTCCTTTGTATGTCTATGTAATCAATAATGTGGTTGAATAAATTTATTTTTTCAACAAAAATAAAATAGCTATTATTTTGATCTTTTTTTTAAAAAAAAGTAGTCATAATACTTTAATTCCCATTTCATAATTTTGTATTAAAAAAATAATGTTATTTTTTAAAGAATGATGAAATTTAAGAAAATTATTATGTGATATGGTTGTTGAAATTATGCAATATAAAATGTATTGTTTTTTTAAAAAATAGTAATAATATATATATCGATTTATATCATCATTAATATTTAATGAATTATTGATTGTATTGGATGGATTTTTAAAAATTGTTACGTTTTTTGGATTGAAATTTATTTATAAAGATAATTTTTTTTTCATTCGACTATAATATTTTTTTTATATAAAAATAGTATGGCAAAACGGACAGTTATCAAGTCAATAAGTTACCGCACACCCATACCCCATCCTACAATACTATGACGGATAATTTCCGCGACGCCTCCGACACTTTTCAGAATCCCGCCCTGAATAACGCAATCAATAGCACCCTCAACAATGTCGTCACAAACACTAATTATAACCCGAGTTCCAACAACGTCAACGCATCACCTCTGCCCATCACTACCTTCAACAAAAACGGACCTGGCATCAATAATAATTCTACATTCAACAATACGAACAAAGCCCTGATAAGTAAATCACCCAGCTATAACCCTCCACCCCAAAGTCTTAACATGCAAAATACGGGTCCTGGTATGCAGACCAGTTCGAGTAATGTTAAGCGCGTCAAACAGGTCCAAAAAAGTGGCGGGTGTTGGCCATGGTCTAAAAAGGAGAACCCCGAACTTGCTCATCTTAAACAGGAGTTAGATATGGTTTGGTAGATTTTATCACATGTTTTTTTTAAAAAAATTTTAATTGCCCTTATTAATAATTAATAATTCTACGAATGATATATTCTTTACACGAATAACACTTCGAATCGAATACGATTAATCAATTTTTTATAAAAAAAATGACATGATATAATTGAATATAATAATTGTGTTTCCAATAAGGAACCATAATTATATTTTATAAATTTCGATTTGTATTTTTTGTCTAATATACAAAAATTCTTTCGCTTCAATGGCGAAATTCCTTTTATCGCTTTTAAAAAACTTATGTGTTATAGGTTAAAATGATTTGTTAGCGATGTGACTGGAATGAAAATAAAATTGCTGACATATTTTTTTGATTTCAGCCTGGGTAATAGTGATATAAATGCAAAATCTCCATTTGAGCCGATTTTTAAAAACGGCTAATTTAATATTTTAGCCAGAAAAATAATATTACCTAAGCCTCGAGATTTCGTCAATAGATGTCGAAACCTTTGTGCCATCTATGAGCAAAATCTTAAGGCTGGCGTAATATTCTTTTGATAAAATACTGAGTTAGCGTAATCGGTTCAAATGGAACGATTTTGCATCACTACTGGGTAAGTGAATTGAATTCATCCAATTCATATTTTCTAGGCATAAAATAATATTGTTTTTTTTAGTTTAGTTTTTTTTTCTTCGTTTTATTACATCCCCAGTTATTTCATATTTTTTAATTGTTTAGAATTTTTCAGGATACGAATTTTTAAAAATTAAATAATAAATATTTCAAATCTCATTAGACTATGATGTTTAAAGGATTTCGATTATAATTTACATTTTTTTCGATCCGTGTCTATATATATATATATATCCTTATTCCCATTTTTGACTGAATTTAGATGGTTTTTTTTTGTTGAACCAAATCTCATTAATAAAATACCGGATTTTTTATTAATGAGGTAATTAGGAAATTATATTTAAAAAATATGTGCCTAGTTTCATCTAAATCTCATCTCGATTGCCAACTTTATCGATTTCTTTTGTTCCTCATTTTTTTTAAATAGAATTTTTTTTGATTATATTTATATAGTTTAGACTGATAGATTTTATACGCTTACAACGTTTATTTATTATTAACATATTTCCTAAGTGGTCAACTTTATTTCTTATGGTGCTCAAATGATTAAGCTAATATTTCAAAAAGTTATTATATAGGAGGGGCAGCAAGATCCCAACAATTTACTTAAAATTAGAGGAGTTTTTTGAATGCTTATGAAAGTTATTATTGCTTCAGTCATAGTTATAAGAAATATCCGGAAAATTGCTTTAATTTTTTTTTATCGTAAAATAGGATTTGTGGTAGAATGAATTCTAGGACAATGTCTAACAACGTTGACCCTTTTTTTAATGAATGAATGATAAGAGAGAATGCACCGATCTTTTATTTTTTACCCGATGCCAGTGGGTAATATCCAAAATATTAATTATCATTCATTTTAAAATGTATATCAATAAAAATCAGCTGGCGCGCCATTTTGGTTTCCTATATAAACAATAAAATTTTATTCAAATTTCTTCTTTTTTAAAAAAAATAAATTTAAAAAAATAATTATGTAAGAAACCAAAAATTAGGTAGGCACCTACGAAAATACAAATCGAATAATTGTTATTCGTAAATGGTTATCGAATACGAATAATAAATCAAATCTTAGTTCCAAAGTAACCAATTTAATAATTTTACTCATATATTTTTAAAAATATTATTTAATTTTTTTTTATAAAATTATTATATTCACGAATACAGGACGAACATATCATTCCACTGCCAGAATTATATCACAGATTCGGTGTTGATCCCATAAAAGTTTGTTTTACAAAATATTTGTGTACTTTAAAAAAAACAACTATTAAATTATATTACATCGCTGGAGTTACTTTTGAAAAATAATTATCACAAGTTACATTTTCTCATAAATAACTGTTTTCAGTAACTATCTTTAATCATACTTAGTTGCATTTACAGTTAATATATTAATTGTCATCATCATTTTTAATGTAATTTTTTATCATACAAAAAATTACAAAATGAAAATAATATGTTATATATTATAACTTAACTAACATAATATTTATTTCATAAAAATTTGGGCTTAATAAATTTTATTTTATTTTAACAAAATATTGTTTTCAAAATTAGTTCCAAAAAGCTTGCTCTTTTTTTTATAAGATTAGATTAGACAATCGTTGTACAGGAACACATGCTGGAAGTAGGATATGATTGTTTAATTTAGAATATGTTATATAAAGCTAACGATATATTGGATTTTATTATATCGTCTTCACCTTCATCAACAATAGAAAAAATTCAATAGGGTCAGAAAAGTTTAATAATGTCAACAAACGTTTACTCCACCCAATGGAATCAAGAAAAATTTATGGCTTGGCTAAGAGAATTTTACATCTGATTTTAGATGTTATTGATCTTATTAATATTCTTAGGATTAGAAGAAGATATCATTTTTATATTTTCTTCTTTATGAAACACATCAATGCCATCCTCATCATCTGGTGAGTCAGTGTACATTTATTTATATATAATTATGTAATTATATGAACCACTTGTATGAAATTATAAAACCTATATAAAAAAATCGATTCAAAAAATGTAACTAGTTTTAGCATGAAGTTACTTTTTTTTAAAAAAAATGAAGTTTTCATAAAAATAGAATTGCCTAAATATGGCTAATTATATCTAAAGTTGTATTTCCCTCATAAATGTAAGGAGTAATTCAAATCTCTTTAAATACCGTGAAAATATACTTTTTTATATAAGAGGCTTAATAAATTTTTAAAAAAATATTAAAATCGATATTCTAAATTCGGTTGAAAACATATGTAATTATATTAAGATTTATGAGGGGAAATATACTTTAGTCCGAGTGAAATTTGTTTAAATTTTTATAGTGCAAGTTTTTTTCATTTAAATTTATATTAATATATAATATCATTTTGCTTATGCTACATTAGCATGATTGAAACCTCTAAAAAAATATGTCTAATAAATATTTAACTTTCATTTTATATATTATTTTACTATTCTTTTCAACTTTTTTTTAACTAAAATATTTAAAAAATAGCTAGAAAGCCACTTAAATAAAATACCAGTTAAATATAATTTCGATCCAAACTGAAAAAAAATATATCATATATAAAGTTTTTTATTTAATATTTATTCGGGGAAAAAATCGATTCATTATCAAAATATTATACTAAAAATAGCTTTTTTATTATTCTAAAAGTAACTTTTGAAAAGTTCATATCGATAAGGTAGACTCAGTTTTAAAAAGTGTATCATATTTTATCAGTTTAAAACTGCACCTGCTGCTCTCTAGATTTGTAAAGAGTTTTTAAAAGTATTACAATATCACTTATCTTTTATAAGTTTTCTTCTACTTATTGTTTTTATTAGATTTTACTGTTCCTTTCAAACTCCCCCCCCCATCCTATTTTATCTTTGCCTCTGTCGGGTTTATAACTATATATATTTAATTCTTAAGGGTTACTCGATAGCCCAAGCGAAAGAGATATTCGCTCGAGACGGTCCTAATACTCTTACCCCTCCGCGCAAGACTCCGGAGTGGGTCAAATTTTGCAATCAATTATTCGGAGGGTTTTCCATGCTTCTTTGGGCCGGTGCTATCCTGTGTTTCGTGGCTTACGGTATTCAAGCTGCCACTTACAGGAATTTTTCCAAAGACAACGTAACTTTATTTTACTACACTTATATATTTTTATAATTTCATTTTTCATTCTTCTGTCTATTCTTTTTTCTCACACATTTACTTAGTTAAAAATTAGTTTTAAAAAAATGTAAATTTATTATAAAATATTATCTATATAACTTATTCAATGATAATTAACCTTCATAAATTGAAACATTGTTTAATAATTTATTATATCAAGCTCTATCTGGGTATCGTTTTAACGACCGTTGTTGTTATAACAGGTTGCTTTTCATATTATCAAGAAGCCAAAAGTTCGAAAATTATGGAATCTTTCGGGAAGATGATACCTCAAGTATAAATTTATAATTACTACTATGTGAAAAAAGAATAATAATACCTTTTACAATTTGCTTCTTTTTCAATTCATTTATTTTTTTTCAAAGAAAGAATTCCCATTTTAATCATTTTAAATTATAATAGGAATCAAATATACTTTTAATACATAAATTGAAAAATATTGTAGAGCGATCTGCAAAGGGATAGTACTAATTATTTTACTAATAAACGTATTTTAAGCAAGCAGTGGTGTTGAGAGAAGGCAAGAAGATGGATATCAAAGCGGAAGATGTAGTATTAGGAGACATTGTCGAAGTTAAATTTGGTGACAGAATACCTGCCGATATTCGTGTCATCAAATCGCAAGGATTTAAGGTTTTCTTTTTTTTTAATTTAATTTAAAATTTATTGCATTTTAAAATATTTTCTTCTCCTTTTCTTCCGTAACATACATAATAGGTTCCACTTCGCAAATGCCTGTTAAAACTAACATAACATTCATTTTTCTTTTTTCGCTAATCTTACAATCTTATTTTTTTATACATACTATTAAGGTCGATAACTCCTCATTAACGGGTGAGTCAGAGCCGCAATCAAGGGGCCCAGAAAATACTAGTGCCAACCCTTTGGAAACCAGAAATTTGGGTTTCTTTTCTACTAACGCTGTTGAAGGTTACTATAATTGTTACATATATATATTTAAGTTTTTTGATAATGCAACTAATATTGCTTTTATTTTAGCAATGAAAAAATAGTTAATCACATAATAATCTATATTTGCTTCATCTCGTGTTCTATCTATTAAATTTTAATCTCATATGGTTAATATTACCGAATAAAATTTCAAACATTTTAATTTTTTCTTCTAGGAACGTGCACTGGTATAGTTGTCAACACCGGTGATCGAACCGTTATGGGTCGTATCGCTAACCTAGCATCCGGAATAGAGGTAGGGGAAACTCCAATTCACAAAGAAATAAATCGTTTTATCCATCTGATAACTGCGGTTGCTATATTTTTAGGAGTTACTTTCTTCATTATAGCCCTCATTTTACATTACACCTGGCTCGACGCTGTTATTTTTCTGATCGGGATCATAGTGGCCAATGTGCCGGAAGGCCTTCTGGCTACCGTTACGGTTGTTATATTTTTTAAAATAATGTCATTATTATAATTTTTATTAGGAAATTATTACTAAGAAGTAGGATTTCGAAAATTAATTTGACTTGGTGGGCTGTAACTAGATATTATCAAAAATTTGGGGCCCAAGATATCAATCATATTTAAAAAATATATATATAACATAAAAATAGGTCTGCCTAACGCTCACCGCCAAAAGAATGGCTTCCAAAAATTGTTTGGTTAAAAACTTAGAAGCTGTTGAAACATTGGGTTCCACCTCCACAATTTGTTCCGATAAAACTGGCACGCTTACACAAAATAGAATGACCGTAGCTCACATGTGGTTTGATAACAAGATATGGGAAGCTGATACTTCAGAAGATCAATCATGTAAATATCTTCCTTTTTTATCACTCATACTTCTCCGTGCACTTGTGGAACTAGGCCTCTGCAGACGGAACAATTATAACTCCATTTCCCTTGATTGTTCATATCATAATTAATAATCATGGACTAAGTTTATGTTAATATTTAATAGTCCGATACTAAACCGACTTAACTAATTTTTTTTTAGAATTATTTGATTTCAAGTAAAAAGGGGAAGGAAAATTGATGAACGTTCTAGGATAACAATAAAATTTTATTTCTTTCTAGAAAATAGGATTTAATAAGAATTAAGATATCTTTGTCAGTCCTGCCTGTTTTAAAATTATTATTCGACGATTGAGTTCGGTGAAAAAATTTACCTAAATCGTACTTATCGATACTCGTGCAGGGCTCTAATAATGTATTATTCATACTTGTTTAAATAAATCGAATAATTTACTATTTGTATTCATCGAATAAAGAAATTTACTATTTTTATTCGATTACATGAAATTTCAATATTTTATTATTCGATTCGTAATCTAATTATAAAAAAAATTGTTCATTTATTGATTAAAGCTTCTTCAATGCAGAAAGACCAACCCTCTTGGTTGGCTCTTGCGAGAGTGGCGTCTTTATGTAATAGAGCTAGCTTCAAGCAGAATCAAGAAAATTTACCAGTTTTAAAAAGGTATTTCATAATAATTTTATACTTTATATTTTTTTTAGATAAATTCAATATATGGTTTCTATGTAATCGTAATTGTCCTTAATATATATCAGAGACGTGCAGAAATACCATTTGCATAGCCCGGATTTTTTTAAAACTTATAACTTTTTTTAAATTTTTATAACTAATAATGGCGATTTAAAAAATTCGGTTTTAAAAATATACGGCCCAGCCAGGGTATTTAAAAAAAATTTAGGCCCGGCCAAAATATATTTAAAAAAAATTAAAATAGCTGGCCAATATACTTGGGCCTGCAGATCTTTGATATATATAATATGTCAACCCCCCCCCCCTAGTACTATTGCAAAAAAATGACCCTCTATTGTTTTATTATTTATTTTAGCCCTTTGCTTATGTTTATAAATTAAAATTCCCTTTTGTTCAATCAATTTACAACGTCAGAGAACCATGACTACGCTGCTTCCAATATTGTTTGAATAAAAATACATATTAAAGTCTTACTTGCCCCCTTTAATTTTTTTTTATGAGTGGATCAAAAAAAAATTTTCATTATCAGGGAATGCTTAGGTGACGCATCCGAATCGGCTCTGTTGAAATGCGTTGAATTGTCATTTGGCGATGTTGAAATGACCAGAGCCAAGAATAGAAAAGTGGCCGAAATTCCTTTCAACTCCACCAATAAATATCAAGTAAGTAGTGTTGCTATGTCTCTTAAAATTTAGAATTCTATAACAAAATAAAATATTTTGATAGGTATCTATTCACGAAATTGAAAACGAATCCAGATATCTGCTTGTCATGAAGGGAGCTCCCGAGAGGATATTCGATCGTTGCTCCACCATTATGATTCAAGGGGAAGAAAGGTTTTTGCAACATATATATATTTAACTCTTGAATGGTAAGATCGAAAAAAATAGGGGTTTAGGATTTTAAAACTATGGTATTTTATTTTTTACTAAATACAAACTGCCCAATCTATAAAAGAACTTCGAGATCATTTCAGTTGTTTGATACTTCTCTTTATGCAGTCAGGATGAAACGCCTTCTTTACTCCTATCAGCAAGCTTGTAAATTTCCAATAAAGACTTCAAATCTTGATTCATCGCTTCTAATGGCATCCTGTCATTGTTTAATTATTAAATGTCTATTATTAATTGTCCATTGTAATCTTTTTTTTGTTGGTCTGTGTGGAAAAGGTTTCTCTTTAGCCTGGCTGATTTATTATTTTACTTTGTAATATCGACACCCAAAACTATGAATCGTTTAATGATTTAAATAGTGTTTTACTTATTTCGAAGTTCCATAGGCTTAGAATTTCGGCTGTTATGAAAATTTTTTATGCAGACAAATAGTTTTAAACATTCTATCTTTTTGCATTAGTTTTTTTTCTCTTTTGAACAATTTGTGGATTTATATTTAATATTATTTTTAAAATTAATGATTTATATATGGTACTGATAATGGATATCTGTAATTTATCACATATTTTTTTGTAAAAATTAATTTAAATATAGATAATATATTAAATAAATAAAGTTTAACGGTTAATTTATTTTTCATTTAATAATTAAATGATTAAAACATATTTTTATGACAAATATATTCGGGGTTTTGTGGTAATACTCGCGATTTCGTTGATTTTCTATGTAATAGTAACAAACAATGTATAATAAAAAAATAATTTTACAAAACACTTTAATAAATAGGCCGATAGACGACAGCGAGAAAGAAGCCTTCAACCAAGCTTATCTAGAACTCGGCGGGATGGGTGAAAGGGTTTTAGGGTTTTGCGATCACTTCCTCGGCACTGACGCATTTCCGAGAGGTTTCAAGTTCGATACGGATGAAGCTAACTTTCCTCTCGAAGGTTTAAGGTTCATAGGTCTCATTGCGATGATAGATCCACCCAGAGCGGCCGTACCAGATGCCGTGGCTAAGTGTCGGAGCGCTGGCATAAAGGTTTTGAATTTTTAAAATTTTAACATATTTATTGATAATTAATTTCGTTTGCTCTTTAATGACTTTGGAGTTATGGCTAACTATTTATTAAAGATTTTCATATGTTGGAATCTCCGATATTCATACATATTTTATTGAGATATTTCTTTGGTCTTGGTGGAGCGCAATTCACCAAAAAAAATTTATTTAGTTACCCACTTTTGCATCTTTCATTATGATTTATTTCATTTTTAAGGTTATTATGGTGACCGGTGATCATCCTATAACGGCTAAAGCAATCGCCAAAAGTGTGGGCATCATTTCAGAAGGTAGCGAGACGGTTGAAGATATCGCCTCTAGGCTGAATATTCCAATCGAAGCTGTAAATCCTAAGTAATAAAACTCATAATATCCTATCTATCTATTTACTACCCTTAAATTAATTTAGACTTTTTCTTCTTATATCCACTTCTCATACCACTTTATTATTATTTTCTCCTTAAATAAATTATTATACTTTCATATAAATATAGAGATGCAAAGGCATGCGTAATTCACGGTGGAGAACTCAAAGAGATGTCCCAGGGAAAATTAGACGCTGTTTTAAGGGATCATCCCGAAATGGTATTTGCCCGCACGTCCCCTCAACAAAAGCTTATAATAGTGGAGGGTTGTCAAAGACAAGGAGCTATAGTAGCTGTTACAGGGGACGGGGTCAACGATTCTCCGGCTCTCAAACAAGCCGATATTGGTATAAATTTTAATTTACAAGGAAGGATAAGGAAGAACATTAATGAATGGAATGCGGCTTTTATTCAATTATTTATTTTTATTTCTTTTAACGAATCCAAAATTCATGTAGAATATTTATTTATAAATATCAGGTGTAGCTATGGGTATTGCTGGAAGCGACGTAAGTAAACAAGCTGCCGATATGATTTTGTTGGACGACAATTTTGCCTCCATAGTGACAGGAGTTGAAGAAGGTTTTTTTAAAATAAATTGAACTTATATGCTTTTGATTAATAATTCAAATCGTTTTATTTTAAACAGAGTTCTTCGAAGGTACCCATTTGCTTTGTCCGAGTGTGTAAAAAAAGCATTTCCCAGTCCAATTAAAAATGTTGATTTTTTTGTAAATTAAATTAATTCTAGAGCGAAAGAATGATGAATGTTTATATACCATTTTTTTTAAAGTCATGAGTCGTCTTATTTTATGAAAAATAATTGCCTCTCGCTGCTTTCAAAAAAAATTTATTAACCAAGAGGGTTCTGGGCCGGACCTATAAGGTATCTACTATAAACATTTATTATAATTATTTCTTATCCACGATAAAAATATATTTAATAAGGTCGATTGATATTTGACAATTTGAAAAAGTCGATAGCCTATACCTTGACTAGCAATATACCCGAAATAAGTCCCTTCTTGATTTTCATCTTGGCAAATATTCCACTTCCACTAGGAACCGTTACTATTTTATGTATCGATTTGGGAACCGATATGGTTTTATTCTTTTATATAAATCTAAGATTTTTTGTTCAAGAGAATTACAAAAGATTTTGGCATTTTTAGTTAAAATTTAATCAAAAATCTCTTTTCTTCGAAAAATCTTCATTTATTTTTGTTCAAAATTTTTTGAAGTTTCAAACTCTGTTTCTAAGATTATATAAGAAATATTCAGGGTTTGCCAGATTAATTTAAACCAAAAGAGGGAGATATAGCCATAATTCAAAAAATTATTTTGTTATAAGAAATATTATACATGCAAAACATTAAGAATCAGTATTTATTTTTATTCTCATTCATATTTATAGAAGATTTTATGCTATTAATTAAGTTTTTAATTTTTGTTATATATTCCTTAAAATCTTTACAAGTATATATTTAAAGCAATGAAATGCCTGAAATAATTCGATATCATTATTATTTATCTTCCTTGAATTTGTATCTATAATCAAGAATCTTCATTATACTTAGATTTTCCCATTGAAAATTCATATTTTTTAGATGCGAAACAATTGTTTTAATGTATTTTATCATGATCCCTAGAATTTTATAGTTTTGTTGAGTTATAAAATTTATTGATGACGGGCTTTTAAAGTTGTAACTAATATTAAAAACATCACTATAATTAATTTTTGGATTGAAACCTTTTAACCATATTGTTAAAGTCGTCTCTATATTAATAACTAGGCCACCTAATAAGCCTCAGTCCTTTTTCAAAAATTATTTTAATATTGAATATAGATTTTTTGAGGGATATAGGATTTAACAGCTATATAATTTTTATATACTTTTTCGAGAGACGATTTAATGATGACCATATTGTTGTAATACTTCGTAGGAGTTTTGACCATTCAATTTCTTGAGAATACATAATTTCAATAAAACGGATATCTTATTTGTGAATCTGCTGAATTCGGTATAACATTCCATATCAACTATTTCTATGCTTGTTCCTTTCTTTCTGCCTTATAAATATCCCAGGCAATCAATGGAGATAATGTCTTTATTAATAATTTGATGATTACACTTTGCCTTTAAAATTCACACTCGCGTTATCAGTACAAGAAGTTGTTACATTTGATACTGAAGGTTAGAATTTTCTAAGCTCTGCGAATAAATGCAATATCCTTAGATTGTCTCTTTCTTTATTAAAATCGAACAGCTTATTGGGAATGGTTTAGTATTTCCATTATTTGATGCGTGTTTTAATAAAGAAAATGGATGATTTTCATTCAAATTCCCTAAGATGAGTTTAAGGACCTATGATGTTTAACACTATTTTTGAGGCTGTTCATTTTAAAATATAACTATTCATGTTTTTGGGGAACTTGTAGTCCCATTTCCGTTTTTATAAAATAATGTTTTATTTTATATTTGATATGTTAATTTTAATATAATTTTATTTGATAGTATGAAATAAAAAATTTATAGTTTTTGATAGGCAATAAGTTTGTAATTTATAAATAAATAACTATATGAATGTCTTTTCAACTTTTGCAGTGTTATCATAACCTTATTTTTAAAGTAGGGTTGATATTATTTGATGATTCCTTATTTCTTACAGTAAACATGTTTTTGCTTTGTTAATTTTTTTACATTTTGGACATCTCCTTGGGCTATTAAATTATGATTGCATATTATATATTTATATTTGAACTATTTTCTTTATCTTCTCTAAATAAGTGGAATTGCAGGTATTTAGGTATTGCAATTTAATTCTTATTTTGTTAATTAATATCTCATGCTTCTATATCTGTAATTTATATTAATGGAATGAAATTGAAAAAGAATTGAAATATTTAACTTGAAGATTTTACTTTTCTAATCAAAAATATATAAAATTGTATAAATAAAAATCGGGAGAAAACGTTAAAAAAATCGAAATAAAGCATAAATTAATAGACGGCATATCTTTTCTTGATCAAAAGTAAAAATCGGGAAAATCTGGCAACCTTGGAAATATCCCCAGTTTTGTTATTTTTAGAATGGGAATCTTGATAATTAAACATTATTGGTCAGGATTATATTATAACAATATTTATAGATTTATTATCATATCACTTACTTAATAAGGTCTAAATTGAGGCTTATTATGATTTTTTATTATTAGAAAAAACTAGACTTATTTACTTTTCCATATCTTTTAACATTGACGCCGACTATTTTCTATATAATTTTAGAATGATAATGATAAAATATTATTTTTACTAATAAAAAAAAATCATCACATACCTCCTAACTATCAACTATTAAATATAGCGCCATTTCATTAATTTTATTATAAATATGATAGGTGCCAGCTATTTCTTTGGCCTACGAAAAAGCTGAAAGCGATATTATGAAGAGAAGGCCTAGAAATCCCAAATACGATAAATTAGTCAATGATAGGTCAATTTCAACCATTTTTTCGAATATACATTTTGATTAGATTCATTTCAATTTTTATACACATACCTTTAAATGATTTCTATCATTTTCCCATTCTTTTTTTTATAAAACTTTATCACGTAAAGATTGATGGTTTTTTAGTCTTAATGAGCAGATTTTTAAACGGCATTTATATTTGATATAAATTAACTTATGTCTGAAAAAAACGTCGTTCTATTTTAAACACATTGTTATATTGAATGAAATTATCTTTCAAAAAAAATAGGTTTTTGACTTGTAAATTGCAGAATGATATTCAACTAGATTAAAAAAAATTATACATAATTATAATTTTTTGTGTATAGACTTATAAGCCTAGCCTACGGACAGATAGGCATGATACAGGCGGCGGCTGGCTTTTTCATCTATTTCATCATAATGGCTGAGAACGGATTTTTACCTAACATGTTAGTAGGACTTAGGGTACCTTGGGATTCCGAATCCGTTAACGATTTGAAGGATTCATACGGACAAGAATGGGTAAAAAAAAATTATTTTTGGATTCCCATTTGGGGGAGGGGTATATTGATTATTTGTAATAAATCAAATATAAAAGTGATACCATACTCTAGGCCCAAAAAACTTAAACAATTTTCTTTTTTTATCAAACTAAAAAAGATGGATTTTTTACTGATCTTATCATGATCGTCATAAATACGTGAATTGTTAAGTCTTGATCAAAGTGTTAATCTTTTAAATGGCCATTTTGTTTTATTTCTTTTTTAAAAAAAGGGATCTAATTATGACTATGTAAATAACCTTTGTTTACCCCATATATCTCATATTAAAAATATGCAATATCAGACATACCACAACCGTAAGATATTAGAATACACTTGCCACACTGCCTTTTTTGTAACCATAGTTGTAGTCCAATGGGCTGATTTGATTATTTGCAAAACCCGAAGAAATTCAATCGTTCATCAAGGGATGAGGTTAATTTTTTTTATAAACTTAAAAGATTTTACAACACATTAAAGAAATAATCGAGGTATTATCCATATCAACAATACTAATCATAAACCCTACTTTTTAAAATATATAATTAAATATTTTATAATATATATATAAGAAATATGGTTTTGAATTTCGCTCTTGTTTTCGAAACGGTCCTCGCTGCTGCATTATGTTATACACCTGGATTGGATAAAGGGTTGAGGATGTATCCTATTAAGTATGATAATGTTTATTATTGCAATTTATATTTCTGGATTATACTGTAAATATTTTTTCCCAAAAATGTTTTCGCAATTTCAAATCTAAAATAGTTTTTATTGGCGTTTAAAGCTACGTTAAGTATGGCATAGGCATACCATACGGCCAGGTTTTCTGCCATAAATTTTATTTTTAGATCCACATATCGTAGACCTTTGGCTATATTATATTTTTATATAATATTCGGTTTTTACTTTTTTTTATTTATTAACTTTTAATTGTTTTTCGTTCAAATTATAGGGGAAAGAGGGGGGCTGTAGGAAGAAATTTTTATTGTCTTAAAATGATATTTATGAGAACAGACAAATTTCCCACTTTTCCATCTTAAGCCTGTTTAAAAATTATCTTTTAATATTTTAATAAATTATTCTTTATTTAACATCTATTCATAAAAGATTAAATTATATAGTTTTTTGCATTAAATTTTTTGTACATTAATGCTAAATGTAAAATTTTAATGTATATTAATATTAAATCAATTATATTGTATAAAAGCTAGAATTGATACAATGAAGCTAAATATATTATAAACTAAATATACTAAGGGCTAAAACAGTTTTAATAAATTATATAAGTGAAATACTCTATAAAATCTTTAAAAGAAAAGATAATTGTTTTTAAAATAATTCATCTCTTTTATTAACTTTTTTATCTTGTGTTTATATCTTTTTACAAAACTAAAAATTAGAATATAAATAATAAATTTATAAGAAAAGGTTAATAATAAAATGTAAAATGAAAAGTAAAGATAGTCAAATTTGAATAGCTTTAAACTAAGTTATAAAACATAATTTAATAAATGCGTGATATAAAATTTAAACATATTATTATTTAATAACCAAATATATAATATTTTAATTTATCAATATTCCTAATATATAGCAAATCTCATTAATCTTAATTTAATGATCTCTTTTTTTTATACCTTTTTAAAAAAATAATTATTTATTAATATCATCTCATTTTAACAGATTTTTATGGTGGCTGCCAGGTATACCTTTTAGCATACTGATATTTGTTTACGACGAAATTAGAAAGTACATTATCAGGCACAATCCAGGGGGATGGGTCGAAAGAGAAACCTATTACTAATCAAATTTACACACCAAAAATTAAATAGTCAATTTTATATATATTTATATGTGTCTCGAAGATCGAAATATGATTGAGTGGTAAATGAATTCTATATTTTATCAAAACAACACTTTTTTTAAATTATGTTTATAATTACTTTTCTGCATACGGTCTTGTTTGTCCTTTAAAACAAGATATCATAAACGTGTAAATATTATATTATTTTTTTCGTATTTTAAATTCACATCTATCGAATCTAGTTCAGTTTTCGTCATAATTCTTCTTCCTTTTTTAAAAAAAACTCTAAATAGCTTTTGCTTCAAAAAAGTATAATAACCAAAAAAATATTATTTTAAAAATAATTGGTCGATCTTTGTATTAATGCTTTTCATTTCCCCTTTTTAAAAAAAATATTTTGTTAGCATTATTCCTTTTTTAAAAAAATTATTAAATAATTTAGGGAAAAAAAATGATTATCAAAATACCATTGGCGCTATTATTCCAAAAATTACAAATTTATATTTAAAATGAAATAATCATCTCATATAAATTATTCGCCTTTTTTAAAATTTTTTACACCTTGTTTTGGTTAATTTATATATTCTTTTTTTAAACCAAATTATAATTACTTTTAAATGCATTTTTTTTTAAAATTCAATATTATTATAATGCCGGATGTTGGAATACATTCTTTCGGGGTAAGTCATTTTTATATAAAATATGACTATTTTTTTCTGCACTTTGTTTTTTATATTGATGAGTTTGATGTGAAATGTGAATTAGGTTAGTCTACTACTGTATATATGGTTAGGGATATCGTGGCTAAATCTGATTGAGCGTAGATAATTTTTTTTTAAATTGTTCGAATTAAGATCATGATCATTATATAATATTTTTTTGATATATTCTGGTATTTTAGTGTTTATTATGTATATATACCACAAATTACTTTAATTCATTATAACTATTTTTGAAGTCACGAGAGGAAAAAATAATGTATGAATGATATCATTCATTTAATTTAGTCAATTATGCGATTTATTCTTCTTTTTTTATGGTTTATAATTTTGAAAATTATCATGAAACTGTATGTTCTATAAATATATAATAACATTTATATTATAAATTTTAAAATAAATATGTGAAAAATTGTTGATTTTTATATAAGAGTATTCTTCAATTTAATTTGGAAGAGATATATTTTAAATGGTAAAATGCCTAGCACAAAGATCAAGTCAGTAATTGTTGAAGCTTGCTTTATTGCCATTGGATAAGGAGTTGAGGATGACAATTATATGCAGTTAAAAAATATAATGGTTAGGGAGAACGAGTCCCAACCTAAATGGAGATAGGGCTTCAGATTATAGATCTACAAAGCCCGCATGGGACCGGACTATCCATACATAAAAAATAGGGCCAGGCCTCACAAATGATTTTTCGGAAAATTTTAATGGCCCAACTCTATTTTTTTAAAATTTACAATATGCGTTATTTCTTTATATTTTAAAGCTGTCTATTTAAAATACTAAATCTATAAATACATTAAATTTATAATTGGAAGGTTTTAAATGTAAGGTAGGTGCCTTTAGCAGGGATCCAAAACGAATAACGGTTCATGGTTGGATATATAAATAGCAGTTTAAGGTTCAGGTTCGGTTAGTAAAAAGTAGAAATATCGGTTCGAACCTCAAAAAACCGGTTTGAACACTTTTGAATACAAACCTACATTCGAATTATTTATAAGGTACGTTTTTTTATTTCATCATTAAATAAAGCATTCATTTTTATAAATTACACATTATAAAATAATAGAATTTATAAATATAACAAATAAATAAACAATTATTATTTACTTAAATTTTTTTTATTAAACCACACAATTAATATATTTTGAAGATTCATCTCACTTAAATTACATCTATAAGGAGATAGTATTAATAGTTGAGTAACATCTGTTCACACTGACTTGGGTAACCGGCACTGCCATTATTATATCGGGCAATTTACATTTCAAGATATCGATTATTCCAATATAAAATATTTATTTATTTAACCTAGGTTCTTTATTTAAAATATTTCTGATATTCTCCGATTTTTGTAATAGATTTTGTTTGTTACCATCCTTTTTTTATGAAGACTATATCCACAGTAAAATCTGAATCCTGCGATCAAAAGATAGCCATACATATTTTTCCCATTTAAGCGTTTTTTTTTAATGGTGTCTTGCCCACTAATGGTAATGACTAATTTTCAAGGGCAGAATCATTATATTTGTTATTATGTGAAAACTGAAGGAAAGAGGAAAATGAAGTTGATTTTAGGATTGGTGGAAGTAATGTTGAAGATGAATAGGAGTCAATGATCTACAGACAATGTTAGGGTGATAAATAAAAAGAAATAAAAGAGTTGTAGGGAAGTTTACTCTGAAAATAATTGAATATAAATGGTTGGTTTAAATCAAGACTTTAGATAAAAAAAATAGAAATCAAGTGTGTATTATGTAAGATATTAAAATATATTAATGATAAATTAAATATTATATTGTCAATAATGTGTAATAATCAATAATAAATGAATTTGGTTAAAAAGGATCTGATAAAAACAGTAAATATAATGTTCAACTTTAAATTATTTAATCATATTTTAAAATGTTCATCATTAATAAAGAATTACTGTTAATCTGGCCACTCGATTGAAAATTTATCATTAATTGCAGGACTTTCATTGTTTTCTAACAGAAACTCATATTATGAGAACCCAAAATATGTAAACATTTTTTAAATGTTATGTTTCAATTCGAACATCATAGATAAAAATATTTTAAAAAATAACAATACTCTTATACCGTTCACTCGAACCTTCTTCCTTTTAAGACAGCATTTCTTAATACGAAAACAATATTATACAACCAGAGTTACTAAAGTAGCGCGCTATGCGCTATCTTTTTTGGTAGCGATAGCCACTAGCTTGCAACTTTTTTTCCAATTATTTATTTATATAGTGCGATATTTTTTAAAAAGAATGAATGCAACTATAAACATGAAAATTTAAATATAATATCAAAATTAATTATAATTTTAAGTTTTGAAATTTATATTTTCAATTTGTATTATTATCCTCTGGTGTAAATTATTTAAAATGTCATAGCAAATTGATAACCAAATCGATGTAAGTGAGTCAAATAAATGAAGGTACCCTGGAAGAAAATGTTCTTGATAACAATAATAAAAAAATTTTAATATAAATTGAGTAATAATATATGCCAATATTTCTCAGAAACTGGTTGAAAAGTCATTGTCGATTTTATAATTGATACATTTTAGCCAATGTCATTAGTTGATAATCCATCATTTATCATAATGATTAAAACTATCCTATGGAACAACAATTTTTTGTCGCCAGGCACTAATGATTGAGATAGTAGACATAGATGCCCTAGTTGGAAACATAGAAACGACTTCCACTGATAATTTTTGAAATAAAAGATACTAATATAATAGGAAATCCCCTAGACACGTTTTTTAAATCTAAAAATACCCATATGAGTATTTTTGATAATTTTTCTTATATTAAAAACATGTATATAAAATTAAATACTGTCTTGCTCTCAAGTGCTAATGTTGAAAGGTTATTTAGTTAGCAAGGAAAAACTATGTATATTACCATAAATAATTATTTTTATTACATAAATTATAGTCTTTTTACATAATTTTTTTTATAATCAAAACGAACTATATTTAAATATTTATAAATATTGATTTTTATGTATTATATACTATGCAATTCGATTACAACCAAAAAATAAAACAAATTTATTTTATAAAAAGTAGCCCAAAAGGTAGCCAAAGCTACTCTTAAAAAATAGTTAATAGCGCACTACTTTTTTGATGGGTAGCGATAGCTGTAGCGCGCTACATTTTTGAGAGATAACGTTAGCGGTAGCGTACTACTTTTAAAAGTAAGTTTAACAACTCTTATACAACATTTTACATCTTCACGAATTAAAGTTAAAATTAAAAACAATATTTATTTTATTATACTTATAAAAAAACGAAATCATAATCATCATATAAATTGAAAATATAATAATATATTTTTTAAAACTGCTTAGATTAATAGAAAAAAAATATATATTTACATAATTAAATTTTTGCAAATTAATTACAGAGATAGTGAAAATTCTAAATTATAGGCTTTAAGAAAATCATTTTTTATTTTTCTAAATCGCTATAAAAAACATCCTTAAACTAAAAAAAATATAACATAATGTGTTCATTTTCATTAACATAATATGTTGATTAATTAGAATTTTACAAGTTAAATTATTTTATGTAATGTTTTAGTAATAACGTAAAAAATTTTTAAATATAGTCGGAATATGCTGTTAATTATTTTAATACTTTTAAAAAAATATTCAAAGAAATTCATATAGGTATAAATAAAAAGAAAGTTGAAATATTTTTTTCTATAAAAATTACAAAGTTTATCAGTTAATAAACACCAATTTAAATAAATTATGGAAGTACAAAGCTCTAAAAACAATTTGATAAGAATGCTCGTTTTATTTGTTCGAATTTACATTAAAAATATGGGTAATGTTAATTTTTTTATTCTATGATGTTCGAACTGGAAGGAGAATAAAAGATTGTTTACATATCTTGTGCTTTCTAAAATTTCTTTTGGAAAATAATTGTTATAAATCAAAAATACATACTGAAACTTATAATTTTGGTCAGTTATAAACAGGGGGGGGGGGGGGGGGGGGTAATCAATAGATTATTTATATTTAAATAAGCAAATTAAAATGATAAGGCATATCAAAATATTTTACCTATTAGTTTATATTAAAATAGAAATTTTCTTCTTCATATCCAAACTCTTTAAAGAGTTATAATAATAATAATAATAAAATTAATTTCCTACCTCCTTAACCAATTTTGAAATCTTATTGGGTGTTTCTCTTAATTGGCACCTCTAGCTTGAGTATTTCAGGCAATGTAACGATGATAATTCTATGTCGTTGAAAATATCTTGGTTTAGTTCATTAATTTGATGCTAATACTTATCATAAAAAATATATAATTTATCAAACCTGGAAAATCTTAATTTAAAGAGATCAAATAAATCATCAACTTTCACTTTCTCCTCGCATATATCTAAAGGCTCTAATTCCACAAAAAATTCATCATGTTTTTCTTTCATGACATATGAAATTTTAATATTTGTTTAAACCTGGGCCAATAAATACTGCATGTTCAATGTATTCCTATATATTAAATTTTCTAAAATATTAAACCTGATAAGACTTGACTTTTAACAGTAAATTCAAATTATACCTGTCAGGTATATCCAATTTTGCAGGATCTTATCTATTCCGGTATCTTCTACCGTTGTCCTAATGCAATTCATATCTTTTAAAAGCTTCATAATATATATGGCAAATAATTTTATGATTCAAATAAATATTATTTTCGAAGCATCTTTAATAAAATTTTTAATCATTAATTTTGATTGTTATTTCTCCATAAAAAAATATATATAATATTACTTATTTATATTTCAAATTTACATTTTAACAATGCAACTCTATAAATGTTTACTATAAAAAAACTAAATACAAAATTATATAAAAAACGGAAGGCGGGTATTGGGGTACAATTATGAAAAATATAATTGAGCAACTAAAATGAGCTGTAATGGCAGAGAATAAATTTTAAAGATTTACTAATTAATTCAGTAATAATCATGTTTAATTTTTTCTAATTGTAATACGAATTAGATTTTAACATAAAATCTCATTTACTTTCACCCTCTCACTTGGAGCTCAAACTCAACCAAACATCTTATTTTCTTTCCCACCATTTCTATAATATGACTAAGAAATTTTAATATTTTTATTCATTTTTTAAACCTGGGTTAATTTCTGTATGTAGGAATTCTTTCAATTCCTATTATAAATTAAGCTATTAAATAGTACCCTTTGATATTATGAATATGTATTTTAGGTATTTATCAACTATATAAAATTACATTG